CAAAGGCAGCCTCTCTGTCCGAGACCGAGTGGGAGGAACGTGCTCTGTGCCGGAGCAGAGAACTGTCTCCGGCCTTTTCGTAAGAGAGCAGCACCCAACTGACCTGCGGGTTCTCACCCCCTTGTCCCGGCCCACCTTCACCCCACCACGCACAGGCAACCGCTAGGCGCTCAGTGTGTGTGCGGGAACAGACACATCCTGGAACGGTAGACGCCGAGGGCTCCGCGGGCTCCACGGGCGTGGGGTGCAGCACCCCAGGCCTCCTCCACCAGCCGAGAGCACACAGGGCCTTGCTGGGCCCTCAGGAAAGGAGCAGGGTGGGAGCAGGTGGTGACACTGGCAGCAGTGCCACATCCCCTGCCAGCTCCAGGGCGACTCAGGGACTGGCAGACTCTGAAGGGCAGGGCTGGCCTGGGCATGGCTCCCACTGCTTCAGGGTCAATTTTATGTTTAGTTGTGGCGGGGGGTGGTGAGCGATAGGTGGGAGTGAGGACCAAGCCTAAAATCCCAGCTGCTCCCTAGGGGCCTGTCCGCAGAAGTCCTCATCCAAGTCCAGGAGTCCCTCAAGGACCGGGGGTGAGTCAGCCCCTTGCTGGGCCCGGCTTACAGTCGGTGCTCAGAGCTTATGGGTAAGGGAGGGCCTGGGGATGAAAGCAGAGACAGGACAGAGGACCTCATTCACCCCTCCTCCAAGCTGGGGAGGTGGCCTCAGCTCTTACAAACCAAGGCCCTGCACAGAGGGTGTTGATCAGATAAGAGGACTAGTCCCAGAGGCTGCTGTCCTCACATGACCCTGGATTCCGCCCCACCCAAGGGAGGCGGAGGTGCTGAGCCCTGGGCTATGACTCAGCGGGAGGACAGGAAGGGGCGGGTGACGGTGCTGGGGCCCTAGGGCTTTGCTTCTCCTTTCTTTTTCCAAAGCACAGTGAGTTCCCAGAAACAAAGGTGCTAGAACTACAGCAAACCCAGGCTTTCAGGGGCACAGGCTTCCCTGGTCCTCCTTCCCCGGGAGATGCCATCAGAGGCCCCAGGGAAGCCCCTAGTCCCTGTCCTCTGCGAGGGAACTTCTTCCATGCCCTAGGACCAGGGACCAAGTACCCGGAAGGTCCACACCAGAGCCAGGACAGGGTTGTGGACTCTTGAGACTTTCCAGGAGCACGTGGCCCAGGCTGACATGCTGGACACTCCCCTGGGTGAGAAGAGTCATGGGGACCCTCTAGGACATGTAGGGATGGAGCAGTCAGGGCAGACTTCCTGGGAGTGGCAGAGGCTACCTACACCAAGAACCCGAGGGACACAAACATTAGCACACACAGTATCTCTCTGTGAAATATTGCCGCACCCCGATGTCTTACTGGGCGAGAGTCTAGGTGTGGGCAGGGCTGCACTCTTCCCCAAAGCTCTGAGGAGAGCCCCACTCCTCCTCTCTTCCAGCCCCAAGAGACTGTCTGCCTCCCTCAGCCCTTCCCCTCTGGTGGGACAGGTGACCTTCCTCTCATAAGGACCCTTGGGATAGTATGGAGCCACCCACGGCAATCTCCCTGTCTTGAGGTTCTTTTGCCTTAGAAGGTGAGACATTTAGAGGTTTAGGGGGTGAGAATGCAGGCCTCTTTGGGGCCATCATGCTTCCTACCACAGGAACGGTAGGGTTGCTTTGCCGGTCCCAAGCCCCATCCAGAGGGCTTGTCCAGGACTGAGGGGTCACCAGGGGTGATCGGGCCATGACTCTGGCCAACACAGTGCTGCCTGGGGGCTGGCTGGGGGCCGGCTGGGGCCCAGAGCTCCAAGAAACCTTGTGCCTGTCCCTGCCAGCGCCAGGGACAGCCCGTACTCCTGGCGGAGCCACCGTGCAGACATCAGGTGCACTTGATCCCTGGAAGTGGCCATGGCTCAACTTGAGCAGCTGCTCGGCCTGAGGGGGAGGGCAGGCCACGAATGGCCTCTCTGCCTGCTGACCGGAATATGTCTGAGCTGCTGTCAGGTCAGGTGGGAGCCACATGGAAAGTTCCAGCTCCGCTCTAGAAAATGCATACTCTCCAGCTTATTGATGGCCATTGACTGAACTTGGGGTATGCCAGATCCACATGGAGCCTCAGAGAGATCAGGAGACAGAAAGGTTTCCAGATGCACAGGGCAGAGTGCCATCGATGCTGGCCGGAGGTCGGGCTAGGGGCTGGCAAGGAGAACAGAGCGGGCAGGGCGGGTGCTCCAGAGGAGGTCGTTGGTGTTAGAACTTGAAGGAGAGGATGACTCTGATGGCCACAGTGGGCAAGGGTACTTCTGATGGACGCCCTGGCTAGGCAGAGGGAGAGGGTGTGGCTAGGAGGGGCAGCTCTTCAGGGTGGTGGGAGGCCAGGGCAGTGGAGCAGAGTCCACAGATGGGCAGGGAGGCACGCACGGCCAGCAGAGGCTGAGCAGCTCTCCGAGCCTGGTGCCGCTGGAAGCTCACTCAGAGTGCCGAGGGCCCTTGGCGGGGTCCCCAGGCCCCTCCCATAGCCACCCCCCTCTACCTCTTCAGACCTGGGGTCTGCAGGACACTGGTGCCACACATAGCCACAGGGGAGCTGGCCACAGGTTTAGGGCAGGGGTTAGGAAGTTAGTGATCCAGAGGGGGAGAGCAGGAAAGGGTTGGGGGCACATTTCGATAAACAGCTAGGTGTACCCTGTGGAGAAACCCGTGGGCAGCTGGGAAAAGCATCCACTGTGATGCAAAGCCTGTTTCCTCAGCTGTCAGGAGGGGGGATGGAATTGTTCCCCCAGAGTACGTCCACCAGACCCCTACCCCCAGAGCCACTGCCTGTCCTGGCCTGGACCTCGGGCACTCAGGCCCTGGTAAGAGAGGAGAGTGGGGGCTGGGGAGACGTGGCTGCCAGGCCACCAGCCTCTGGAGGCTCCATCTCTGGAGGACAGAGAGCAGTCAAGAGCCCAAGGCTGGAACCTCTACCTCCCTTCCCTTCCAGATGTCCAGGTCCCTGCCAGCCAGACAGCTGCCCGAGGCTACAGGACCCTCCCTCTGTCTGCCCTCCACGGCAGTCCATGAAAGCACAATGCCCAGTGACAGGTGCATCTCACAGGCTCCTCTCAGCCATCCTGTAAGATAAAGCATTTGTCCCATTTCTTAGACTTGGAAGCCAAGGCTGAGGGAGATGATGGCATCTGTCCAAAGTCACATCCTGGTGGCAGGCAAGTGCCAGGATCTGCAGCCAGGCCTGTGTGGCTCTGGCAGGGGAGCTCAATGTCCTAAGCCCTGTCAAGCCATTGGTTGCAGGCTTGAGGTCCCGCCCTCCCAGTCCTCTTGGCCTGGACCTCTTTCCCAGGCCAAGGAGGGGGGCCTTGCTGTTTTCAGGGAAGGATGTTGTCCCCAAGGGCAACTCCTGCCTCAGTGACCCCGGCTGCTGCTACACTGTCATTCTCCATTATTATGCTCTCTTGGGGGGCCCAGCCTACCCACTGGCCAAGGCCTTCCCTCAGTGATGGGCCTGAGCTGGGAGGATGGGAGCATGAGGGAAGCCAGCACTGGCTGAGGTGTGGCCCGGGGCTGGGGAACAAAGGGACACAGGGCTGCTGGTCAGGGAAGCTGCCCGGGGATGCCGCTGGGGACAGTGAGAGCCAAGGGCACAGGCAGCAGGAGAGGACAGACAGCACTGGGGAAGACCCCGCGGCAAAGGTCGGAGCGCATGGGGCTCAGGAGGCCGAAGCCTCGCTCTGATTGCACTCCCCCCCCCCCCCCCGCAGCATCCTCCTGGAGCAGCGTGAGGCAGTCCCCGACTCCTCCCCAAGGGAAGCCAGGGGCAACTGGGAGCCCCTGCAGCCACGGCTGGGCAAGGAGCACATACCAGGGCCCTGGGAGCTGCAGTGCTGAGGCAGAAGTGATGCCCAGGCAGAGCAGGGGAGTCACTCAAACCAGATGTGACCCCAGCAATACAGACTCCCCAAAGGGAGGGACCTAACTTCCCGTCTCCACTTGACTGCTCCCACCATGGGGCCTCAGGCAGCCACGTCTTCTGGGGAAGTCCCTGGCCCGGGGACTGGGCACTCAGATGCCAGCCACACACTCACCCAGCTGGCAGAGTAAACCGAGGCTGCCACCTTGCTCTGGCCCTGGAACCAGAAGAGCCAGCTTCTCAGGAAAAGTTGCTGCCCAAGGTCCCGCCATAAAATGTAATCCCAGAACCTGATCTGATCCCTGAACGAGATTAAGGCTCCAGCAGAGAACGCTACCCACCCAACCACACTGTCTCTGGCCACTGCACCACCAGGGCAGGCCCTTAAGATTCCTGAGAGGGAGGGGGAGTCCGGAGGAATGAGCCGACCTGGTCTGCCACGGTCCTGTGAAGCCAGCCAAGGCAGGCTCATACCTGTGTCACCTAGAGGTTCCCTGTCACTGGACAGAAGGGCTCAGCCTGCAGGCCTCCTGGCAGTCACGGGTCTGAACAGACCAGAGCCGGGGCAGAGGTCACACCGGTGCCCACTCTGTCGGGCTTCTCATGCTCTCCAGGCCCCAGCCAGGGACAGATGGTTTAGCTGCAACCCCCTCGGAAGGGATGTCTCAGCTCAAACTAGGGAATAAAGAGTGAACACAAGCTCTGCTCACCCCACACTGGCTCAAGCCCTCAGCTAAATGAATGTGGACTTGAGACCCCAAATTGTACAGCCAGGACCCTCAGCCCCATTCCCACCCCCCCCACCCCAGGAGCCAGCAGCCATCCCCCAGCTGAAGCAAGAGGAGGCTCCTGTGCCCTGAGCCAAGGCCCCTCTGCAGGGGAATGTACGGGCAGGCACCCAGCGTGGCGTGGGGCTGAGCCGGCCCTCGGGAGGGAGGCCCCAGCGTCCCAGGCCAGGAGCCCTCATGTGCCCCCCCCCACTCTGCTCTCCCACACCACGCCACTGGGCAGGAGGACGCTCTTACCCACAGCACTGCTGGGGGGCAGGGGCCAGACACCTATCAGTCACGGTAACAAAACTGTAGTCTCTGTTGGTCTCTTGACACTTTGTTTGTGGTTTTTTGTTTTTTTTTAACCCTCACCCAAGGACAGGCTTATTAATTTTAGAGGGAGGGAGAGGGAGAGAAACATTGATATGAGAGAGAAACATTGACTGGTTGTCTCTCCCATGTGCCCGACTGGGGACAAAACCCACAACCTTTTGGTGCAAGGGACAACACTCCAACCAGCTGAGCCACCCCAGCCAGGGCCAGTCTCCTGGTGCTTTATTGGCCAAATCTCCCCACAACCCCAGAGCTGTTCCACCCACAGAGACGCCCAGCAGCCTGCACTGGCCACACCGGCGTGATGGAGCCAGGCTGGGAACCCAGGGCTGCTCAGCCCCCGGGCCGGTGGATGGCCTTGCTCTTTGCTGTCCCAGGAGGGTCACCCCTGCGCTGACTTCTTCCCCCAAGCCTAGAAACGCAGAACATGGGGAATCCCAGAGTCACAGGAAATGCCCCAAGTGTCCGGAGCTCTGGAAGGCCCCATCCCGTCTCTCCAAGGAGCATTCTGGGAAGAAGTGTCATCTAGGCACTCTGGCAGGCGGAAGCCCTGGCTGGACATCCACAGGGCAGCCACCCTGGGTGCTAGACCTCTGGATGTGCAGGAACCGGGGCCTGAGGAAACAGGAACAAGGGCCAGTGACTGCCCGGACCCAAGGAGTGAGCGGGGCGTGGGGACAGCACACTGTCCCCACAGCCGGAGCTGTGACAGTCCTGTGGAAGGACCAGTGTGTCTAGAGGGCCAGGGAGGGTGGACTCATACCTCCCACAGAAGTCCCTGCACACAGCCACAAGGTTGAGGGACAGGTCAGGCCGGCTCTGCAGCCAGCTGCCAACGAGCTCTGGGTGCCTTGGGTCCACTTCTAAGAAGATGCTTCTACATGGGGGGGAAATGGGCCAGCTCAGCTGGGCAGGGAAGAGACCTGCACATTTGGGTTGCCCAGGCTAGAAGGGGTGGGGGGAGAATGACAACCAGGGCAGGCCCAGGACCCCTGGGAGGAGAGGAAGCTGCCAGGGACCGACTGAAGGGACCTGCCTCATCCTTACCCAGAGTCCTTCAGGAGCCGTGGGGCCAGGGCCAGGACACATTCAATGATGTCCATGCCCTTCTCCCCGCCATCCAGGGCAGCTGGGTCTTCATAGCTGAAGGGGAGGCGGTGGGAGGTGAGAGTCTCGGATGGGGGTCCGAAAGGTGCAGAAGAGCTGAGCAGAGCCTCTACGAAGGGGCCCCCTGGATTTACTGTGGGCTGAGAGTCACAGGACCCAGGGAGGGGCCCCCAAATGACAGCAGCTCCAGCTCCCCTTTGTCCCTTGAGCAGCGTTCACCAGGCAGTGCCGCGTGCGCCCAGTGAACCTCACTGCCTAACAGCTCCCCCCCCCCGGGCCTCAGTGTGTCCCTCCACCAGGCTGCTCCTATTCTTGGTCCGGGAGGCCTGGAGCTGGCCCTGACCGACCGCCCTCAAGGGACAAGGAGGGGGAGCCAGCGCCCTGCCCCACACTGCCACCGCCCCTCAGGGGCTCTGGGGCGACCCGGGGTGCTCAGCCCGGTGTGAGAACAGGATGGCTCAGTGCAAAGCTGGGGTAGAGTTTGGTGCCAGCTTTCCTGCTAAGCCCCCACATGACCTTGGACATGGCCCCTTCCATGTCTGGGCCTCAGCCTTCTGTAGAACGATGTGCCCGTCTGAGCACCTTCCATGTGTTCTGCCCCGTGTCTGGTACTCTGCGCCGCGCCACTGCCGAGTCCTCTCACAGCTGGCAAAGTGCAGCTGCCCCCTTTCAGAGGCCGGAAACAGAGGGCAGGGCGGGGCAGGGCGGTGGTCATCTGGTGGTCATCTAGTGGTCTTAGGTGGGAAGGCAGAGCTAAATGCAGGCAGGTCTGCGGGCTCTAGAGTGAGCTCTCTCCCAACACCAGCCCCCTTTCAGCCCCTCCCCCCCCCACGGTGTGGTCCTCCTGGGCAGACCCATCCCACTTGGCTTTCTCAGGCCTGGGCCCTGTCCCAGCCCACCCCGCACCTTCGGATCTCAGGGGCCAGCTGCTCCATGTCCTTGCGGAAGATGTAGGGAGGGTTGCTGATGATCAGGTCCAGGGGGCCCCAGAGCAGAAGGTGCGCCCAGCTCCCCTCTGCGTTCAGGGAACACAAGGCAGAGAAGGGGAGGTGGAGCGGGAGTTCCACCCACCGCCTCGCCCCCCTCCCTGGGAGACCACGCCTGGGGCCTGCCCACAGACCTGACCATCCAGATAGGCATGTGAGGGCCCAGGGCCCCTGCCAGGAGCCAAGACACTCAGTAAAGAGCGTGGCCAAGCCATGCTGTGCCTGGGCACGGCCGGGCTGAGGGGCACTAGAGAGGGGCTCTCTCTTAACCTTGTGCTTAGGCCTTGACAACCAGCAAGGCCCAGACAACTCATTAGTTAGGGGACTTGGAAGATAAGAAAAGCCCCGGGGCTGTTCCCTGACGGTGGAGTCAGCCCTGGAGGCCACAGGGACTTGCTTGTCCTCAGCAGGGGCTGGTCGGAGACCCCCATGTGCACATGTGTGAGTGTACGTGTGTATGTCCACTCGCGGGTGCATGTATGTGTGGGGGGAATAAATGTTGCGGAACCCTCCCTCCTGCACTGCAGAGTGCCTCATCTGCCTGGCGGCACCTGTCCCCAGGGTCCCCACCCCAGGGAAGATGGGTTGGGAAGGTACCTAAGGTCACATCGAGGGGGACGATCTGAATCCTGTCTTGCAAATGAAGCCTGGAGAGATGGGAAGGGGAGGGAAGCTCAGGGCAGACTCCTGACCTTGGCTGCAAGGACTGGGAGAACACGCCCTTCATGGACTGTGAGACACCTGGTGCCCCTTGTCCACTCGTATACCCCAGTGGGGGCCATGCCAGGCTGCCCCAGCACCTCACCCTTCTTGGGAGTGGGTATCAGTGGGTTGGTCACCCGAACAGGGGCTGAGGTCAGGCCTAAGTCCGACTCCCGCCACCCCCGACCGTCTGGTCCCCCGGCCCACCTACCGCTGAGCGTTCTCCCGGGTCAGGCAGACGGCAGCGTCTCCCTTATCCACGGCAATGGCTCTGCTCTATTCCAAGAACGCATGGAGGGTACATGGGAGGCAGATCCTGGGCGAGGCCAGGCCTGGGGACCAGAGCCCCCAACCACCCGCCAGCCAGAAAAGAGAGAAAAACCCACATCTTTTCCCTCTGCAGGCCAGGGCCTGGCTAGACAGAACGGGGTGGAGGTAGAGGCCGTGACTGGGGTGGGCTAGGTGTAACCCTGTCCTCTCACATCTGGTAGTGTCCCCTCAAGCACCTCCAGCAAAGACAGTGGGGTGGGGTAGAGAGTACCAGTCAGTCTACCCAGCCACGGTGGGGTGGAGGGAGGCAGGGACGCTCACCTGGGGGAGTCGGCTCAGCAGGCTGAGGGAGATGGCCCCCGACCCGCAGCCCACCTCCAGGATGAGGGGGCCTCCTTGCGCTTCCGCTGCACGAGGCCTCAGGGCCACCTCCTCCAGCACCCATTCAACCAGCTCCTGTGGGGCAGAGAGGTTGGGATCAGAGCTCATGCTAACCTGGCCCCTGGGGTCTTGGCGCTGAGACCCCAGCATAATAACCTCTGAGTGAACACAGGAGGCGTGTGGTCACATTGGCTGGGACCGAGTCCGCTGGGACCATGGGCAGCCACTCTGCCTCTGTTTCTCCACCTGTAAACTTAAGCACTGTTGAGGATAACCCTGCTTGTCGGGGTGTAGTGGGAAGCAAACCAAAGGACACTTGAGGACTACACGGTGTCGGCACATGGTCAGTATCCAATAATCCCCAGCTCGAGGCAATGCTAAGAACCACTCTCAATGGTTCCTGGCCCTGCTTCCAGAGCTTTCCCTGTATTAACCTGTCAGGTCTTCACAACTGGTCCATGAGGAAACTTAGGCCCAGGGGTCAAGATCTCACCTTGAGCCTGGCTTGCAGCTCATGGTGGTTAATTATCAAGGGCCGGGATGTCCCGGGCTTCCTTACCCACCCATCTGCCACCCACAGGAACTGTGCATAGTAGCCCAGGTAGGGGGGAGGCAAGGGTCAGGGCTACTGCTGCCCAAGGTCAAGTGTTTCTAGCCAGTAGTGGGGGGGGGGGCTAGGCATGGTACAGGGAAAGGACAGTGTGGCCCTGCCCAGAGGCATCCTTTTGAATGAGGGACTCACGGGCTCTCGGGCAGGCCCGGCTCAGGGAATGGTGGGGGATGGGGCCAGCAGGTGGGTGCTTCCCTCCTCTGAAATGTGGTCCACCTCCTCCAGGAAGACTCACTCGGCCCCCGCCAGGCTCTGTCCACCATGGCTCCCCCAACTGGGAGTCTAAGGTCTAGACCGGGGTCTGCCTTTCCCACCAGACTGCAGGCTCCATGATGGCAAGGCCAGAGCTTGAATGCAACGTGGGGTGTCCCCCACCAGCAGGGCCTGGCCCACAGAGGGGCCTCTTGGCCACTTCCCAGGGGTGGGGCAAACATTCCGTGGCTGTGGGAAGCTCTGCTCTGAGTCCCAGACCCTAGGTGCCTCCAACTCCCCAACGTTAGCTGTCAGGCCCTACTCTCCACAGAAGCCCCTCCATCTTGAGTCCCAAAAAGCACTTCTTCCTGCTGGGCACCCCAACCCCAGGAACAGAGCTCACTTGTCCCCAGAGCGGCAGGTCCACAGCATGTGGGGCTTGGCGAGTGGGCCACACCTTTCCTGCTCCAAGCCCCTTCCGCGCCACATGAGCTGCTGTTACAGGTGAAGTGGCCCAGCACCAGCCAGAGAGGGCTTCCCTCACTCGCCACCACTGGCCCTGGACCAAGCACACCTGGAGGCTTGGGACGCTGGCAGCTTGCTGGACCCCCCAGCGCTGGGACTGGCTCAGGACAAGCAGCCTCGGGCTGCGGCCGAGAGCCTGCGGTCTCAGTGGTGAGGCCACGTACAGAGCAGCTGGTGGGACGGCTAAGACTTGTCAGGGCTGAGAGCTTCTCTTGGTTTCCTGGCCACAGACAGACCTACTCTGGCTGGAGAATGACCCCTCAGCCAACCACAGCAGCCAGCTGCCTGCCAGACACCCCCAACCTCAGAGACACCACATCTGTGAACGGCCACCCCGGGCAGGGTGTGAAGCTGAGAGACGGCATCCCCGCTGCTACCAGTGCCCCTTGCCTCTCTCTTACACTCCGGGCCACAGGAGGGTCACCTTGGCTGTGGGACCACCAGGGGGTGGGGTGGGGTGGAGACCACCCCAAGGAAGTCCAGAAACTCTCTCTCTTCCTCATCCAGTGAAGAGCCTCCCTCAGCGTGAAGCTAGTGGCTCCATGGGGGAGGGAAAGCCACGCTGGTCACGGGCCCAGGGCAGCTTTTCCAGGTGAACGAGGGAGGAATCCGAGGACAGAGTGTGGTGAGGGCAGAGGGGCCTCTTGGGAAGGCCACAGGGAGCAGGCAGCTGTAAGCTCTGCCTGGAGCCACCACCTCCCACAGACTCCACACCCCTTCAAGAGGATGGCCCAAGGCCGCACGCAGCAGGACCCAAGTGCCATGCACATCCTCTGTTAGGATCACGTCCCTGGCGGGGCATCCCCAAGATGGTGACATTGCTTCCCTCCAGTCAATCAAAGACAAGTCACTGAGCCTCCCCCACCAGGCTAGGGGGGGACGGCTCCCCTCACAGCCTAGGGTTTTTCAATGCACACACCACAGGCTGGAGCTGAGCCACCCACCCAGCCCAGGGGAAAGCCAGCTGGGCAGGCCTCACACCTGCGACTTCACGTTTCAGACCCCTGCACCTGTGATCGGAAACCGCCCTTTGGTGGACTCAGAGACCACGCAGCATGACCCCTCCCGTGCACCCATCCTCCCCTCTCCCTGCCACAGGCCACGTCCTCTCGAGTTCTTGGTAACGTACCCCCAGTGTGGCTTTGCATTGGGGTGAACCTGGCAAGTTCTGAGAAATGTCTGTACACAAGGTGAGGACTGGGGCTCCCAGCCGCAGCGCCCCCCTCCCCGCCACTCCTGCTGCAGCCCAACTGCCTTCCTGGCCCAGTCCCAGCCAGGAAAGGGGGCCCACATGGGGGCCGGAAGTCCATACTCAGAACCCTGGAATACATGGCTGGTGCAAGGTCAACTAAGGTGACTCAGAGGTAATCATGGTAGTTTCCCTCCCTTACCCTGACTCTTGGCAGCTTTGGGGAATAGTGAATAGCCTCTTGGCCAGAGGTCACATGCTTGGGGGGAGACACAGGGTGACCTCCCAAAAGCCTGCAGGTGACAGGCCACATCCTACTCTGGGTCTTAACATCTCTTCACAGCTCAGTCAATCCCAGGTAGGGCAGTCCCAGATGACATATGGGGCCCTGACCCTGGGAGTCAGGGTGTCTGAGTGCTGTCCCCATGTTACCCCTCCTTCCCCGCACCCCACCCCACTCCACCACCCTTCAGTAGCCCTATGACTTCAGCAAGGTCTTGAATTCCCTACTGTCCCTGCCCTGACAGTGGGGCGTGAGGTGACGGCCTGGCTGGCCTCACCACCGAAAGATGTGTGAGTGGGCAGAGTGTGAGGATTTCCTGGCTCAGGGAGAGAGGCTGGGAGAGGGAGGAGAGGCTCCAGGTCCCTGGCAGGGCAGGAAGACAAGGCCTGATCTTCCCCAGGAATGTTTGTGTGCCTGGATGCTTTTCTAGAAATGCCCCTTTCTCAGAACCTGGTGACCTCTGGCTTACCCACCAGCCCCAACCAGCCTCACCCCCTGCTCTGCGCTGGCTCCCAGCTCGGCCACCTACAAGGTCAGAGGACAGCCCAAGAAGGGCCATAGAAAGCATCTCTTCCAGGACTAGGGTGCCTTGCTGAGGAACAGCATGCTGGAGCCAGATGCTCCCCAGTCCTAGCAACTTGAGGGACAGAGGTGATTACCTCACCAGAGAGCAGATCCAAAAGGACCACCAAGTCACAGATTTCCTGGTCTGGAGGCCCAACCCTCTCATCATCTGGGCCCAGAGAGGGCAGAGAACTGCCTGAGGTAACTCAGCTGTACCAGGCCTCCAGATGCCCAGCCACAACCCTCCCCACTTCGCCTACGCCTCCTGAGGACGTTTGTCTCCTATGGGTTAAGTAGGCCACAGGACCCAAGGGACCAGCCCTAGGGAAATGACAGGTACAGGCTAAGTCCTTGGTAGACAGCACTAGTTGGGGTATCCTGAGCCACTGCCAGCCCTGGGGGCTGGGGCAATGGCTTGGGATATAAGGACAGTCAAGGAGGCCAGCAGGAGGTCCTCTTGGCCTCATCTACCCAGCCAGCCAGAACACGCAGGTTTGGAAGGGCACTGCCTCAAAGGACAGCAGCCATGGGGCCCCAGCGCCCCCTGGAGGAAGTCTATGGCAGGACAAGTGTCCTGAACCCCACCCTCATCCCCATCCCGCTGTCTTGGTGGCACACCTACCTCCGTTTCTGGCCGAGGGATGAACACTGGGGGCGCCATCTTCAGACTGAGCCCCTGAAAGTCCCACTCACCGAGGATGTACTGCACAGGCATCCTGCAGAGGGGGTGGCTGGGTGAGTCTCTGTGTCAGAGCCTGGACCTAGAGGACCATGCCTGGGTTGAGGGGTAACACTTGTGGCTGAAAGTGTAAGGTAGGGTCATGTCTCTTGTTTCTGGGACTCCTGGCCAAGGCCTTCCCTCCCTACCCTCTTCCTATTTATCACCCTGACACCCCTCTCATCACTCCCTCATTGCAGCACCTCCCAATCCTCAGTTTCCTCCTCCCTGATCATGAATTTGGTGGGGCTGGGGGAAGCTGAGCCCCTGCTCCTCAGAGCCCTTAGGTCTGGCTCATGGGTGCTCACCTTCGCAATCGGCGGCCACTCAGTTCCTGGATGCACTGTAGTTGCCCAGGGGTCAGGGGCTGCCTCCGTAGTGCTGGCCTCAGGCTCTGAAACTGCCCCACAGAGAATGGGAGTGACCGGCTGCCCTGGGCCAGAGGCCCCGACCCAGATTTCTCCTGTGAACAATGCCTGCGGGTCCAACACCGGCCACCTGTCATCTCTGAACCCCCAGCCCGGCACACACTCTTAACAGTTTGCAGGATGAGCGGACAAGTATTTGCCTAAGGCATTCACCCAGAAAAATCACGTCACTCTCAGATCAGCACTCTCCGAGGGGCAGAAAAGCCTGGAGGTCTCTTCCCCAAGGTCCTCCCTCCCCGCTCTTCCCCAAGACACCCCCTCCCACAACAGCACTGCACTTAACTGTTTTGGCTCCAAGGACATGAGCCACGATGTACTCACTGGATTCCCGGGCCTCTGGGATGCCCTCCTTCTCAAAGACCGCTGTCCACTGGTTGACCAGGTCCGTGGCACTCAACAACCCAGCCTGAGGCAGATGGCGCCGCCAGGAGCTGAAGACCCAGGCCTGAGTTCCTCCCCTCCCCCCTGGCCCAGACAGGAGGAGCCGCAGCATTCCACCCCAACGCTCCATGTAACCTGGGAAGGCTCCCCTTAAAGACTTCCGAGTCCCCAAGTCTTCCTCGTGATATCAGCTGCCAAGATGGTCGCTGGCCCAGGCTGGGCAAAGTTGAAGGTCACAGGCTCTGGTCTTCAGACGTGCTGCCACCCTGGCAGAGGGAGGAGAACCAGGACGGCAGCTGAGCCTTGCGGGACCCACTCCCCTCCACCTGCTGCCTGAGAGGGCATGCTCTGCTCTGCTGCCTTCCTGACACCACTTTAGACCCTCGCCCACCTATTCCCTTCTTCTGGTCTTGGCCAGTGATGCTTCCCTCATGTTTTTGGCCAAAGCAGGCTGAACCCATAGCTCAGCCCCTGCTAATAAATGGGCTGCTAGTGGGCCAGGGCCTAGGCTTGGGGTTGGACACATCAGTTTGACCCAAAAAGGTCATTATTTCTGAGTCTGTTTTCCTTGTCCATAAAATGTCCATAAAATTGGCAATGCGCTGCTTGCCAATTTTGACAAGCAGCACATTCATTAATGAATGTCAAGGTCCTGGGAGCCAACTCTAGACAGGAGAGACTGGGTGTTACATGCTCTTAATATTACAAAGGGGAGGAGGCTGCCTTGGTTGGAGGTTTTGCTTTTGACATTTTGCCTGTACTGTCATTGATTTGGACGCTGAAATGCCACCCCCCCCACAATGTAACCCACATTCCTAAATGTCAGCATAAATTGTCAGCTAAAATACTGCCAATTTTTAAATTTTGTATTTGTTATCATAAATTTTACTGAAGGTTTTAATCAGTGGTCCCCTTGCCTTTCACACAGACCAAGATCCAAACAAATGTTTATTGAACCCCTGCTAGGTGCCACATCGTCAGAGACTAGGAGGGAAGGAAAGGGGGCAGCGACTTGCCCGAAGTCACCTAGCAAAGACACCTAGCAAATTCTGTGCCAGGAAAGACATGAATACAGGTCGTCCGGACTTCAGAGGAGTCTCGGTGGCCTGAGCGCTGTGGAGGCCTGAAGTCAGGGGCAAGGCTTCGCTCTCAGTCCAGCACCGCAACATCACTGACTCAGGCAAGGTCGCCTCTCCCCAGCGCCCCCCCCCCCCCAGCGCGCGTGCAACGGGGGACTGCGCGGAGGGAAGGGCGGTGTCGAAGGTGTTGCAGCCCAGACAACGCCCCCACCCGATCCCCATCTCTAGCGCATACCTGCCTGTGGGGTTACCCGGCCCGCCCGCCCGCCTGGAGAAAAGACCCTGGGCTCGCCTCCCGGACGTGTGTGGCTCACGAAGAGCTCCCTCGGATGCCCTGCTTCCGGGGTCGGCGCAGCCGAGAAAGGGCTCGGGCGAACCCAGTCGCCCGGCTCCAGAGTTCCTAACGCCACGGAGTAGCACCCGAGAGTCCCCTGAGGGCGGTGGGAGAGACTGTGAACTCTGCTCCCACTCCTCACGCAGGCCCACGGATGAGAAAGTGCTTGGCCGTGTGTGGGCTTGCTCCCCAGGGGCCCTGATCTTCCCGAAGGTCACGGCAGAGACACGGCTCCCGCTCGGGGTGACTTTGGGAGCGAGCATTTGGGAACCTGGCCGCGGCACTGTGCAGCCAGACCCAAAGGGGGCGTATCACCTACGAGTCCTGGGTTCTAGGGTTCGCGCGACGTCCAGGGGCGTGGTCTAGCAAGAGCACCCGCCCAGGGTTGGGGCGTGTACCAATTTGGTGGGCGGGACCCCGAGTCCAGGACCGGGCCGAGGGAGTGGCTCGAGCAGGGCGTGGGGGCCAAGGTGGCAACTGGACCCCAGGACATCTCTTGCCCCTCTTGCTCCCGCTTTAGGTTTGGAGCAGGGAACTAGAAACCGGACACGGGAGACCAGGGTTTGAATCCTGACTCTATTGCCACCTAGTAAGGCTTTGTCCTGGTGCCCAGCCTTCTATGGGCCTCGGTTCCTCCTATAAAATTAATGACAGTGTCCCGTGAAAAATGTGGCCTCGCAACGCTCCCTTCCCGCACCAGAATCTAGTGCTAACTAGATCACCGTTCACCAAACTGCTATTTAACATAAAGTTTCCGAGGATTCGCGGGGATCAGTATTTGTAACAAGCTACTTCGATCATCTCCATAAACTCCTTTGAAAACCTGCGGATAGGAAGGCATCTGAAGGCCTCTCCCCTGAGCTGAACTGAGCTGATCTCGACCTGCTCGGCGCGCTGGGAAGGAAGCTATTGTGAGGGGAATGCGGAGGCTTGCCTGGGTCGGGGTGCCCAATAATGCCACTCCAAGAATGATACTGCCCCTCGCCCAGCTTCTCTGAAGATGCCCCATTTGCCCGCTCCCGGACGTGCGCTGCACCCCGGGGTGGGTCCGTTTACCAAGAGCCCTCACACCAGAGCCCATCTGAGCAGGTATTTGAGACCCAGGGAGGGGAAGCATCTTTCTCTAGGTCACAAAGCCAGCACAGGGTCTAATCAGACTTCAGCGCAGGCCCAAGGACTCCCAGTCCAATGCTCTTCCTAAGCCTGCAGCGTCCGCCTGCGTTATCAGGCCTCGAGTCTGTCCTGGCGGAGGTGGTGCCAGGCTGGCCCGGGGCCCGCGTTCTGGCCCAGGACGGGCCTAGCCACCCACGGTGCCGCTCAACTCGCTAGAGGCCACCGGGAGTGACGGGTGGTGTCCAAGAACTACCACCGGGCTCCCGCTGGAGGCGGAGCCGGATCCAAGCGACAGGATAGTGGGCCAATGCTGGGAGGGCTCTGGACCTGGCAGCCAATCGGGACCTGGGGGCGCGGAGCGGGCCGGGAGGAGGGTGCCCGAGCGCCACCGACCCAGCGCGGCTGCTGGCCTGGGCCCCACCCCCGCGGTGGGTCCGGGCCCTGCCTCTCCCGGCCAGGCTGGGAGAGCCGGCGCTTGCGGCTGCGGGTGGTGCGGCGCAGCGGGCCCAGCCCCGGTTTGGAGCGGACAGGGAGGGTGGACCTCAGGTCAGACCAGCGGCCCCTCACCCGGGGCCTGGGGGGTTCCCACTTACCCGCCCCCCCCCCCCCGGCTGGCCCTTCGGTCGCCACCACCCCTGGCCTCTCCCGCTGAGCTCGGCGCCCCGGAGAGGATTAAGTAAGTGCTGAGATCGCGGAGGAGGGGATGGTGGTTGGGTCAGGGAGGAGAAGGGTGCGCGGGTTCTCGGAAGCAGGTCGCGGAGCCGACCCCTTTCAGCCTGGTTTCCTCTTGCGCTTTGGACGCTGAAGCAGTGCCAGACGGGGATGAGCAGGGCCCTTCCTCCCCTTTGGGCACAGGAGCAAAAGAGCCCCTGAAAGAGTTAAGGGTCCGGCCCAAGGTCACTCCTGGGGTCAGAGGCAGAGCCAGGAAAGAACCCGGGACTCCTGACCTGCCCAGCCTCGCTGGAGGGAGAGGGAGGAGAGTGGTGGGGCAGGGAGTGAGAGGAGCCTCTCCCACCTCGTGTCAGCCTTGGCCCTGCCCAGCGAACCCTCATGGGTGTGTGCCAACCTCACATACACCCGTGCACTTGCACTGGGGCACCTCATATATATATACTCGCAAGCAAGCACTGGGAGGTGTGTTTGCAGCTGGGTGCTAGCGATCCCTCCCCTTCCTAGGCTACCCGGCAGCTCAGCTAGGACCCCTTCCCACCCTGCCTCCCCCAGGGCCCTCTGGCCTGGGAAGGCCCAGGCCACACCCGGGGCCGGACACATCTCCCACACTTTGCTCCTAAAGGGGGGCAGGAAGAGGGGAGGAGAGAGCACTTCAGAGTGAAAGCTCCATCCCTGTCCTGGAAGACATGCTCCCCTTGCTTTTCTCCTTGTCCCTGGAGGCCACTAGGTCCCTTATAAGTGGTCCAGTGGCCCCAAGAGCCTGTGGAGGAGCCCTGCCAGGGGACCTGACTCTACCCTCTTTCTTATTCCTGTCTCCTGGTCCCCATACCTGTCCCTGCCCCCATCCCAAGCACCACCTGGACCATGCAGTGGGCTGGGTCTAGTGGCTTCTGTGACTCCCTTTCCCATGGGGGCTGGCCAGGGGGAGAAGCTCTCACGTGGGTGCTCGCCATGGATGGGGTTCATGCTGACATTTCAGTGACCCTTGGCCCTGTGAGGGAGACGCCCTTAATATCCGCACCTTAGGGTCAGAAAAACAGGCACAGAGACGTGGAGGGACTTGCCCAGGACCAGCCAGTTCAACTGAGCTGGAATTCAACGACAGGCCGTCTGACTCTTGGGCAAGTTTTTCCCTCCGGAAGAGGAAAAAGCTGCAGTATTTTTTGCTCCAAGCAGGAGATGAGGGATGTAGAGGCAGTGGAGATGAGGTGGGGAGTGTGGGGAAGAAGGGTTGAGAAGAAGGATATTAAGCAGGGGAGACACCTTTTCTTTCAGACCTCACTACCTTTCATGTCATCCAAGTATGCTCACGCCGGTCATCTTACCCACAGAGAGGCGGCAGGGCTTCATTCTCACCTTCCTAAAGCCACATGGGAACTGCCGATATATCAACCGTATGTCCCGATGTCCCCTGGACTTCCCCTTGACCTCCAACTTGTATTTCCCCAGTGCCCTCAGAACTTAGGGGGCTTAATCCCACCACCAAGTCCCATCCTATCCTCAGCCTCATAGTTTTTATTCTTTCCTTTCCAGTATCCAGGGAAGCAGAGAGCTTCCTTTATCCAAGGAGGTGGCCAGCTGCATGGGTAGCAGGGCCACAGGCTGGGACAGTCCTGATGTCAGAAGTGAGTGAGCAGGTTGACTGACCACAGGCAGTCTCTCAGCATCAGCATGAACTCCAGGATCCTGTCTGCCAGGGGTTGGCTCAGCACCCGCCCATCCACCTCTGAGCCCAACCTTGAGCCTGCCACGGATGGGACAGCGTCTGCGACCACCACCCTCAGCCCAGAAGCCACCAGCTTTAATGGCACCAGAATGACTGACGTGGGTAGCGGCACAGCTGGCGTGGGCACAATGCTTCTGTCCTTCGGGATCATCACTGTGATTGGCCTGGCCGTGGCCATGGTGAGGGCTGGGGCTGCTGGGGCTGCCCCAGGTGACCCACGCTTGCAGGAGGGTGGTCAGTGTTTAGACTTTAGAGGCTCTAATCAAAGATAGCCATCTGTTAATGATTATGCAATACCCCCCCCCCCCAGGGATTTGTCCACTGGGGCCCAGAGACCAGAGAGGCTGCCTGCAAGCGGAAGAACCAGAGGCGTTTCCGAGGAGCACGTGGTGTTTTGAGCTGGGCTCTGAAGGCCTCATAGGAGTGGGGAGGAGGGCGTTTTCCAGGTAGAGGATCCTGGCGGGCGGAAGTCGGGAGGCAGGCAGAAGGTTGTGTGAGCAGCAAGCAGAACAGTGAGGCAGACGAGCGCGAGGGTGCAACGGGGCAGAGGCCAGAGGTGCCTGGGACAGATCACCGGCTGTGGAGTCTGGGTGGGACGGCCTGGGAACGGCAGGCCCCTGGCAGTGTGCATTCAGTCATTCACTTGGCAGTGGTTTACCGGACTGCTGCCCCAGATCGAGCCTTCAGGATCCCGTGATCTGGGTCCTCCCACAGGGAGCGGAAGACATGCAACCAAGGTGCCAAGGGAAGCCCAGAGGGACTGGGTTGGGGACTTGGGCCGGGGGCCTTTCTAGGCTGGCTGGTCAGGGACAAGTAGGAGGCAACATTAGAGCTGAGACCTCGAGGTGAAGGCCTGGCCCCAGGGTCGTGGGAGAGGCAGAGTCGGGCAGACAACAAGATGGAGGCGTCCTGGGGCGAGGGCTGCGGGTGTCCCCTGCGGGAGCACAGGGTGCTCCCACACCTGGTGTCTGCACTGAAGACATGAGATTTTCCTCCAGGAGGATACGTGGGCGTTCAGAATGACACCAAGGGATCACTGGAGATTGCACTGCCCGAGACCAGGAAGGGGGGGGGTGCACCTGAGGTCCCCCCGTGGGCCTGGCAGTGGTGGCATCCTGCCCACTGCCCCTCACAGGCTCTGATGGCTGGTCTTAGCTCAGAAGCATGTTGCTTTGACAAACAGGGCTGCGCATGGTCCATCCATGGCCTGCTTGGAGCTGCTGTTAAACCAGAGTTGCCATATGGGCCCCACGGGCTCCGGACCGCTGCCAAGGAATAACTCCTGGGCAGCAAACAGGGCCAGGATGCAACACACTGTGTGGGGCCCGGCCTGAGCGGGCTCCTAGGGCGGGCGAGGCGGACTGCCAGCCCTTCTTCCCCTTGGAACCCATGCAGCGGCTAAACGGACAGAGACACCCTAACCTCAAGGTGTCTGAAATCTGCCCTTGTAATTCTCCATGAAAGAGTTCCCCTAGGAACTTAGGAGGACTGCCCTACCCTTGGTTCTGGAGGAACATCCAGAGGGCCGGGATGGCTAGCCCTCACGCCAAAAGCAGAGGGAGGGGGTTACGGGGCAAAGGCACTAGAGGGCAGGAAACAGCTCCTGGGCACCGGGAGGTGGGGCCAGAGACGCTGTCTCCTCATGGCGGTCCCAGGCCAGCCATGCTGGGTACACAGAGGAGCAGTCGGTGCCAGACTGTGTGTCTCACACAGGGCTGGTGGAGGGCTTTCTGGAGGGGGTGGGGCTGTTACTAGACAGGAGGGGGAAGATTCGTAAAGGAAGGATGGGTGGGGGGAGATGGGAGCAGCAGGGGGAAGGCACGGAGGTGAGGTCTGGCCTGTCTCAGAGGTCGTCCTGCATCACAGGGCAGGGAGGAGGGTTTGGGGCAAGGCCAAGAGTCTCAGGAGCACAGGGGCTGGGGCTGGGGAAGAGGCCTGGACATTTTGTTGCATCCCACGCACAGAAGAGCAAGGGTGACCCTCCGAAGGAAATATGGAGGAGCAAGGGACGCCTCCGTTTCCTCCCAGGCCCTTGGGGTCCCCCAGGAGCGAGCAGCAGGAAGAGCTCTGAGTCAGGCTGGTCACCAAGCCAGATTTAAGCTATAAATGGGCCCCAAAGAGTATGGGAGCCACAGACGGTTTGGGACAGACCCTGGAGATGTGGCTGTCCCCAGGCAGAAGACCAGAAACAGGCAGCTTAGGGAAGAACAGGATGGCAGCAGAGGGCCCTGGCGTCCCTTCCTGGTGGTCACCCGCTGCCCCCCTCCTTTCAGGGCCTCATTCCAGGATTTCCTGTTCCAGCCCACAGCCCTCGGGTCTTGGATGCTTTCTCGGGCTGTTCAAGCCTTTATCTTCATGTGTGTGCAATGGAGTTTAGGACACAGGGGGTCTTCCTGCTTCCCTCCAGCACCGGGATACGGGAGTTCGGTCTGGGCCGACAGCCAGTGGCTCAGGCCCTCTTCCAGGTTCCCGCCAATGAGGGCCACCAGCCTCTTTGGAAACTCCAGGAGCCCAGCCCAGAGCCTTGCCTACAGCCCCTGTCTGTGTCCTGTTCTTTTTGCCCATTCTTGTCTTTGGGCTGGGGAACAGTTGAGAGGAGGGGATATGCTGAAGTGTCCCCAACCCCTTCAGCCCTGAGGTGTCCCCGGCAGGAGCTGAGTGCCTGAAGCCTTGGGTTGGTGTGGGCAGAGTGGGGCCCACAGCCCCTAGGCTGGGCTCCTCACGGTCATGGCCAGTGTCTCATACACCTCAGAGGGATGCACCACTCAGGATGTGTGGGTCCCTGAGGACTCGGGGACTCACAGTCTCCTGTTCATCAGCCTCAGCATGTGCCCCAACCCAAGGGACTGCTGGGTCCACCAGGGCCTCCTTTCCTGGCCATTTAACGCTGTTCCTTCTCTTGCAGGTTTTGTACATCAGAAAGAAGAAGAGGTAACTCCCCAGCTGCCTCCTAAAACTCCAGCCCATGGGTGGTGCTGGGCTGGGCTCCCGGGGATGCGGGTGGGAAAGGAGCAGCCCACCACCAGCTCCCCTGGTCAGGGGGTCAGGGCCCCTTCTGCACACTCAGGGTTGAGGGTGGCCCCTTTTGCTCCAGGATGGTTGAGCCCCACTCCCTAGGGGTCACCCCCAGGGCAGGCAGGTGTGACTCTGCGGTTGGGGTGGGTGAGCAGGAGAGGAGAAGGTTGGGTCACCTCCAACCAACTGCCCCACCACCCGTGCTCTGCCGCCCTGAGCTGGCTGCCACTGATGCCCCTCCCATCCCCCGGCTGCCCTGACCTTGGCAGTCCCCATGGGTCCCCGTGGATGACAGCTGTGTAACTATCCCTCCCAAGCCACCTGTCTGAGAGGTAGAGCTGGTATGGAAATACATGGCTTTCGTTGAATCCCAGGGGGAACTTAGGCTCCTGCTCGTGGTTGTGTGCTCTGGCCCCACTGGTCTGCCCGCAAGGCCGGGAGGGCTGGTGGGAGGGGAAGGGCCTGCCCTGCCCCACGCAGCCTCTGCACCTCCCCCCACCCCAGGCTGGAGAAGCTCCGCCACCAGCTCATGCCCATGTACAACTTCGACCCCACGGAGGAGCAAGACGAGCTGGAGCAGGAGCTGCTGGAGCACGGGCGGGACGCAGCCTCCACACTGGCCCTGCAAGGCAAGGTGGGCACTGGCCAGGCTCCCCCACAGCCTACAGCCCCTCACACAGCGTCCAGCCCCTCCCTGTTCCTTCCCTGTGCAGCCATCCGGCACCCATCATGAGGTCAGGTGACAGCTGGTAGGGGTGTGGGTTTTGTCAGGTTTGTTCAGAAATCGGTAGAATTGCTCAGTGGCCACCTGCAGATCCACCCCGTGGGGCCAGGCCACGGTGGCCCTGGCATCCAGCTGGGCTCTGCCCTGTAGCCTGTGATCCAGGAAGCCCTCTGGCCTCTCTAAGCCTCCGCCTTCTCATGCGTAGTGACGACCCTCATTCTTTCCCCAGGCACCCCATGCTCGAGCTAGGAAAGCAGGAGAGGGCCGATGGGACAGGTGGGGGCACTGAGTCCCCGCTCCTTCTGCTCTCTGAGAGCCCGTGGTCCTGAGAGGGTGGTGGTTTGGGTCACTTGGGACAGTGGCACTTCTGGGTAGATCTATGGGCTCCTAGTGCCTGACGGACACCGTGCAGGCAGAGACCCAGCCACACGTACCTCCTGTGTCCAAAGCGTCAGGTGCCTGTGTGGTCATCCCACCAGAGTCACTGGCTGCTTGGCCGCTGGCCGTCAGTCCCCAGAGCCCCAAGGGCCAGAGCACCACTAGGAGGCCTGGTCTGTGCCGACCCATGAAATCCTTTCGCATCCCTCCTCCCCTGACCCCACAGGTTGCTGGGCTATTGGGGGGGGGGGTCTGCCCCCACCAGAAGCAGAATTAGGAGAGTGGGCTCAGGGGAGGCCAGGCTGGGCCACCAGAGACCCTCTGGCTTTGCTGCCAGCTTCGTGTCGCCTGGATCGAGACACATGGCCCCTTGGGACAGTCAGGAAACTGGGCTGAGAACCTTAGCCCCCCAGCCCAGGGGACTACTGACCCTTTGACAGTCGTCTTCCGTACCCCACCCTGGGGCCAGCCGCTGTGCTGGGGCTCGGGTTACAGAGGCAAGCCCTGCCCCGTGGGGAGAAGTGCAGCCTGTGTAATGCGTCCCGCTGGGCCCAAGGGGTGCAGGCTGCTGGGTGGGCCCGGTGGGGATGGCCTGAGTTTGCAGGGAGGGCATTCCAGGTGGAAGGCATAGCTGGAGCCAAGTGCAAGCGGGCCCCAGGAAGTGAGGCTGTGACTGGGTCAAGGTCCCTGATGCCCCTGACTCTCTCTCTGCAGACCACTCTCCCGTCTCAGGGTCCACTGCAGAGGCCCAGCCGGCTGGTGTTCACTGATGTGGCCAATGCCGTCCACGCGTGAGCGGCCCGGGACAGGCCTGGACCTCTGGTGCAGACACCTGCCTCCATACCCACAGAGCAGCTGAGTCTCGGGACCTACCCTGCCGAGGCCCCTGCTGTCCTGCCGACCCACCCGCTGCCTCTCCGGGCTGGGCATCTGGCCACTGACGTCCCCTGATGTGAGGGTCCCAGCATGGAGGACACCCCTCCTACCAAAAAGGCTGACAGCCACTGCTGGCTTCCTTGTGTTCTACCCAGACCCCCTGAGTCCGGGTCTGCCCCCCGAGTGTGGAGGGAGTGGAGTAGACATGGGAGGGGAGGGGAGGAGCGTAGGGACAGACCTGTCTTTGGCATCCGGAGCCTCCTCTGGGGCGGGAGAGGCGACCACCCAGGCCTCGGGGACAGAGTGTGGCGGCACCCTGGGTGGGGCTGAAGTGACGCTGAGGAGGGCTACTCACAGCCCAGGCAGGCCCACGGTGCAGAGTGTCCGTGGGGTCTCCCTGCCACTGCTCTCCGGTGGCCAGCTGTTGGCTGGGTCTAAACGAGGATGGCAGCCGAGGGGGAAGGACAGTGGGGGAGCAGGTGTGGAAGCAGGGGGACAGGCAGGGCCCAGACCTGCAGAAAGGCCTCCCGCAGTGCACGAACCTGCCCACGCACAGCCGTGTGCCTGTCCCGGCACCGGGGACAGGATGCAGACACCCGGGGTGTGTGGAGGGGAGTGGGGTGTGGCCACTTCTGCCTTCAATGTTCAGGGGCTGAAGGGAGAGGAGAGGAGAGGGTGAGGGTGCCGCTGCCCCTACCTCTCTTCATGGGGCTCTGAAAGCCAGGGAACCTGCTTCTGCAACCCGGTCCCTGTCTTGCTGTATGCGGGGAGCTGGGGCTGGAGGTGGGCCTACGGGGCTGAGAGCGGAGGTCGCAGGCTGTGGGCTGGCGGGGGATGTTCTGGCCGCCTGAGGTGGGGTGGGGACCCCCTCTTGGGAACAGACCGAAGGAACCTAGTCTGTTTTTTGATCATAGCGCCCACCCGCCCATGGCCCACCCACCCATTCCTCTCAGGAATTCTACCAGTCTGCGGGGTGTGGGCAAGGCATTGGGCCAAGCCCGCCCCCAGGACCTGCTGGGCATGCAGTGCACTTGAGCACGCCCAGAAGCATGTCCCCCTGCCCAGCCTTGCCACTGTCACTGTCCTCTGCTGGCCGGAGGGGCCGTGGGGGCGCCATGTACAAATCTTCTGTTGGGCAAATACCACGTGTCAAAATGTGAGCGCCCAGGTGGCCCACGTGGGGAAGATTCTGGATGCATTTCCTCCTGGAGATGCTATAAATAGGGTATCACTGGGATGGACCTGAGGGTGGCGGGCAATTCAGGATGCACGGAAGCTGTAATTTAGCTCACAGCGTCTTTGTGTGAGAGCATTAAAGATGTCATTAGGATGTTCCCGTGAAGAAAGTGTGGGCCTGTGACTCACTCGGTGTGGAACTCGGGGAGGGGCAGGGTGTCGGGGGCAGGACGGGACAGTCACTCGGATCCCAGCTAGGCCGCCGTACCAGCCCCGACGGTTTTCCTTGATCTCTCTGATGAGATAGCCTCTAGCCCTGAGTTCCAGGCAGCTCTGGGGCCTCAGGCATCGCTGTGAACGGGTCAGGGTGCCTGCCCTCCCCTTGGGTGGAGGCGCCCTCGTGCACAGAGGCTTCTGGGACCAGAGGAGGGAGGGCACTTGGGCACCCAGGGCCAGGGGGAGGTGTGGTGCCTCAGGACACATGGGAGCTGGGTCTGAAACACGGGAGGGGACAAAACAATGTGGCCCTTCCCAGAGCGCAAGGAGACAGATGAGTGTGGGAAGCGTCATGTGTGTGGGACCCAGCTGCAGGTCCAGATGACAGTAAAGTGACCAGCCATCCTGGGTTTCTCAGGACTGTCCCAGTTTTAGCTTTAAAACTCCCATGAGACAGGACTTTAAGTGACCAGAATCTTCCCTGGAGAACTACCAGGCTAGCCAAGCCTTCAGGCTAACAGAAGTGAAAATGAAGGGGGGGACAGTTAGCCCCCCAGTTCCATGGTGGAGGCCTGGGCTAGAGGTGGGGGTACAGGACAGAGCCTTGGGTAAAGGCCCTCAGCACATCCTACGGGCCACGCCCACTGGGGTCGGACAGCTGGGCCTATCAGTGACAAGCCTGGTCTTCCGGAAGGTCCTTCCTTCAGCAGCCGGACAAAAGAATTGCTGAGGGACCTGGGGCAAACAGGTGGGCGGGCTGGCCACTCCGGTTCTGTTGGGCAGCGCCTCAGCCCAAGAATGTGCAAGCTGAAGGAGACCCAATATCTGGGGGACCTCACAAAATAGAGCCTGCGGGGTAAGACTGGTACCAGGGCTGGGATGGGGGTTCCAGAAGGACCCCTCCCCATTCTCTCCTACTGCCAGCCCCAGGCCCCTTTCCCGGTGGGTGGGTTCGGCTAGGGGATGGACACGGGACAGCTTTCCGTGGGTGAGAGGAACCACTTCGCCTCCCTCGTACCCTCCCAGTCCGCTCCTCTTTCCTTCCACCCACCTTCTGTTTCCTAGCTCCTGCCCAGTCCTGGAGGACAACCAGAGTCCCCACCAGTTCCTGGGTCTCCCACGGAGTGTGGGATCGATAAATATGAAAGGGATGGAAGGTTATGTTGACATGTCCTTCTGTGATCTTGGGCCTGGTGGGCTGATGGGAACTCCCCTCACTGCCAGGCAGACGGAGTAAGACAGAGCTGCCTGGGCACCAGGACTGTTCCTGAAACTGACAGTTAAAGGGGCTGCTTGGGGAAGGCCCCCAGGAGACCTGCACGCACATCAGAAGCAAAACCGCACCTCAGGAACAGCGAGCAGGGCTTCGGGGCAGAAGCCGAGGCAGGTGCAGAGGTGGGATCAGGGTGGGCATGGGTGGGTGCCTTCAGAAGTCATCTGGTTTCATAAAGTGAAGTGTCACCTTCCTGCCAAAGTGAATGCAATCATCCTGTTGCCTGGCTGCAGGCGGACAGCTGGGGATGCCTTCAGAATGTAAAGGCAGGTCCTTGTGGGGGAGCCCAGAAACTCCAGCAGAACAGTCTGACCTTGACATGAATTCCTTCTAGAAACATCACCGAGCCCCGCTGCGGGCCCAGCGCGGCATCCTGTCAGTGAGCCGGTCCAGTCCCTGCGTCTCCGTTTCAGACGGGAGACAGATGTCAAACGGGGAAAAAAGGACGACTGTGTGCGCGCGCACACACACGTGCACTCTACGTCTGTATCTTTATATCTACACCTGCAGCTGTCCCTCGGTGTCCGAGGGAGACTGGCTCCAGGACTATCTACTGATACCCAAATCCATGGGTGCTCAAGTCCCTTACGGGAAACGGGGCAGTATTGGCAAAGAACATGGGTGCGTCCTCCCTACACTTTAAATCATTTCTAGCTCACTCATAATACCTAATACAATGTAAATGCCATGTAAATAGCTGCTACACTGTATTGTTTAGGGAATGGCAAGAAAAACAATCTGCACCTGTTTAGTAGGAAGCAAGCATCGTAGGCCTCGTTACATAGTACCCATCGGCAACAAGGTAACTTTTTTGCAACAACATAACTTTTGCAAATACTTTTCATCCAGGGTTGGGTGAATCCGTGGGTGTGGAGCCTCAGATAGGGAGGGCTGATGGTATATGAAGAAAGGGACAGGGTTCAGGTATGCCTGGGAGCTCAGGGCAGGCACCCCCAACCTGACCTGCCGCAGACCCCAGCCCAGAGGGCCTGGGCTGAGGAAACCTGGGGAAACCAGGAACCGCCGGCCTGGCACCCTGTCCTGCCTGGCCTCCCAGGGCTCCGGACAGGGGCAGCTGCAGGGAGGGGCATCCATGGTCATGCAAAGGACAGTCTGGAGAGGCCAGGGGTGCTGAGAGAGGAGCCAGAAGTGTGCGAGCCTCAGGTGCAGGGAGAGGAGGAGGGGAAGCAGTGGGCGTGGAGACCCTTAGGTGGGTGGCTCTGGTGACTGCAGGATGCCGTCCCACCTGGGAAGTCTACCCCACCTCAGAGCTCCGTGGCAGTGGTCCCCATCCCCACCCCTTACCCTGGGATATCAGGGCAGGGCCTGTGCCCCCCAGAGCGGGCAGCATGCAGGGAGAGCAGACTCTCTACATGCATACCTCCAGGACTAGAAAAAGGGCAGGCAGCGGGCAGCGGGAGGAACAGGAACAGGCTGGTCCCCTCCCCCGTGAGGGCCAAACCCTGGGCTACTCAGCCCAGCAGGGGCCTTGGCAATGGCCCTTGGCTACCTCAGGGGCCAGCAGCTGGTCCTAGAAATGCTCACCTTCGGTTGATGCCGTCCCAGCGCAATCGCCTGGACCCCAGTGTCCTCTGCAAGGGCAGACTGTCACCCATCTCAAAGAGAAGAGACCCACCGTCCAGATGCTGGAGTCATTAGGCTTAGAGCCAGGGGCTCTGCCCTCGTCCTACACCATTCCAGAAAGGAGTTTCAGACAAGCCCTGGAAACAGCAGGCCGCTGGGGCCCGAGGTGTGGGGGGCTGCACTGGGCTCCCCAATCGCCCAGCCTCCAATGTCATCCTTGCTGCCATCTGTTGGCAGCTACAGGCACTGCAGGGGGCCTTCCCCCCCACACGCTCAGCCCTGACACCTGTCAGGTTGGCCCATCCTCAAATCCCACCCTGCACTCAGCCTCTCCTTCCAGCCTCTGCCCTGTTGGTTTGGAGAGCAGCCCTCATGCTGCCGAATGCCCTGGCCTGGGGATCACCTGCAGGACCAGGACTAGGGGGAGGTGAACCGGGGGCCTAGGGCTCAAAATGTAAGGGGCTGCTCAGTCAGGCCGACCCTGCACTTGCAGCAGTCTGAGGCGGTGCCTCTTAAATGTGCCCCCCACACCTCATGCTGGTCCTGGTGCTGCTACTTATAGGCCCCTCTGGGTCAGGGCCCAGCAGGCAGAGCCTCTAGCCCACCCCGCTCCCACGCCGGCCCCCGACAGGGCCGAGGTGCTGCTTACCTGAGGAGGTGAGCACATCAGGTCAGCAGAGGCTTGGGAGCTTAGTAGTGACTAAGCTCACACCCGAAACTCCCCCAGAAGGAAGGACGTTCTCTGGAGACAGAGCTGGCCTCTCCTGTCACCACGCATGCCTTCTCTTCGAGGCCGCGGCACCCCCAGCTGGGGCCGGCCTTGGAAGAGCCCCACACAGTGTGAGGACAGAACAGCAATGACACGCCCCTCCCAGGAGGCAACAGAGGTGCGGGCGGGTGATGGGAGAATTCAGGGGAGGAGTCACCCCTTCCGACTGTGGGCACGGCAAGGCTTTCATTGTGCTGGGCCTTGCACTCTGTCTGGACACAGGTGACGGGGGGGGGGGGGGGGAGGGCATTTCAGGCAGAGCAGTGGGCAAGACATAAGGACAATGGGCTTCCTTCCAGCCAGGACACTAACAGTGGCAATCTCACTAGGTGGCCCTGCAAACATGGTGACCCTGCATTGCACTAGGCCAGCCCTACATGCCACACACAGACACCTGTCTACTGAGTACCTCCTTGTCCACCACACAGGGGCTGGTGGGGGTGGGTCTTTCAGACACTGCTCTCCAGAATATCCAGGTCAATGGTGTTGTTCCCCGAGAGAGACCACACCCATCTCTACTCCCTCCAGAGGGACCCTAGAGGTCTGTTCCCATCCCCAAGTGGAGACCTACCTAAACCTGTGGATAGACTGAACCCATTTTGCCTTAGTAGAGTCCTTCCCAATGTGACCACCAGGTGGCAGTGCAGGCCTGGGTTAAAGAATGGGGGTGTTGAGGTGGGTAGTGCCTGGGTGACATTTGGCCTTGAGGGCTCTTCAAGAGTTTGGGTGGCTGGTGCAGAGAAGCTGTTGGCTTCCTCCCTGCCAGGAGCAGATCAAGGCTGGGGCTGGGTCAGGGCTGGGGCCCTGAGCCTCTGGAGTGGAGTCCGGTACGCAGTGACTGCTGGGGACCAGTTACTGATGGACTGACAGATGGGCCCTGCCTCATGCGAATTAAGGGAGTTCATATATAAAAAGCACATGGAGAGACTTCAATAAGTGTATGCAGTTTCTGGTATTTTTATTAACTAGAATGGTCCTTTCCAGAGCATGAACAGGTGTCCAGAGGCCCCACCCGTCTTGGGTTTATCGGGGCTAAGCTGTGGGCCCCACCCTGGGATCCAGACAGCCTCTCCTAGCAGGGAATCAAGGCCTCACCACGCAACATGGCAGTGCTCATGAGCATCTGGGGACAGGAGAGGCCTGTGCCAAGCTCCGAGGGTGGCCTGGCCCCTCTCAGCCTTACCCCTCAACTTCCGTGGGGGGCAGGGAGAGCCAGCCTTCTCCTGTCCCTGGCAGGGCTGGCTCACCGGCAGGTTCAGCTAATTGGAGGGCGGGCAAGGCAAGGCTGGGGACATGCCTGTTGGTGGCCATGGCCCCAGCTC